TATGAAACTTATGAACATTATAAAAATGATTACAATTAACAAATATTGTATCTAATTGTAAGGTACTTTGGTGCCATTTAAAAAAAATTGGATTCATTTTGATGGTAGGCTGTCTGTAACAACTATATAATGCCTTTGAGACATCTAAAACTATAGTCAATCCCGTGACCATGATTGCAGTAAAGCATTCACAACGTCGCGAACCAAAAATCAAAATAAATCCGCGAAACAAACCGAAAAGATAGTTTTATTTAAAATGTCAAATATACGCGTAAATCTTCGAAAGTAGTAAGATATTAAATTATCTTTTTCTCAAAGAACAAATTATATTATTACTAGCGAATTAGCCTCTCTTTTCTCGGGTGCGTTTCTAGGTGCCAAAGAGTAGCCTTTGTGGTACTCCAGGCCATTAAATTTTACCCAAATCCGCCCAACCGTTTTAGCGTGAAAGAGTAACAAACACACATACAAATCACGTAATCCGATTTGGATACAACTGCCCAACTAGTTAGCAGGAAAAGCGCATGAAAATTATATCTAGTTTATGAAGTTTACTTTCATTTTTAACTAAGTATAACCATTAGTCGAAACTAGAAAGAAAAAGAGTTTGTGTATAACATATATTAACAATTATAAACGTTTGAAACAGTGTAATAACCACTACCCGTCACGTACGTACAAAGTACATGTACCCATTACGTGGGCTTCTAATACGGCAGGCTTATAGCCCACTCGTTCATATACTTCCTTTGACCTTAAATAAATCTATAAGTTTTAATTTTAATTTCATATTTCTGATAAAACAGTGTATAAATAAACATATAATTTCAGGACGAGGAAAATAAGAACACAGTAAACAATGCAATAAGCTTTATATTATCACTTTTTACTTTATAAGTTTTATAATGTCACTTCTATTTTCGTATTTCTATCTAATATAACAATTAAATGTAGTTTTAACGATCACTTTATATCACTACTATTTAACCAATCACAGGAAAACTTTATCTTTTTACTTTTTACACATAAGTTTACCACTATTTTGATCAATAAGTTTACCAGCATAAATTCAATATTATTTTAACAACGATTACTTATCTTTTATGGCGTAATGCACGTCTGTCCAAAAAACTAACTCTCCCAACGGTTTAAGCATGGAAATGATTGCTACTTTTAAATCATTATCACGTGATGAAATTACAACAATTTTTCACGTGATTTCACCTGCTACTTTTCACGCATAGATTTTTGATTTCGACGGTCTGGTGTCACACTTTATATTATTTGCTATTAAAATGAAGTATGAAATGTCACCAATGGCGCTACTGATGTGATATGGAGCAGAGATATAGATCTGACGTAGTTGCATACGTACATGGTGCTTTAAATGAACCTCTTTTCAAACAATGTACTTTCCCTCATAATTCTACAGGCTTGGGACTGACAATGTAAAATTAAATGAATTTTAAATATATCAGAGTAATCACACGGTAAAATTGTATTAAGCTAAGTTCCATAATTACATTGGCGTATTTAAAAGTTCATTGTTTTTATGTACAATAAGAATTTTTATAAAAGAATTTTATACACTTTTTTTTTGTTTTTCTTAATTTTTTTAATTTGTTTATAATCATTTTTTTTTGCTTTTTGATTTTTTTGATGATTGATTTTTTTATGAGATATCTATATACAATAGTCTTCATTGCTTTTTAAAAATACAAGTTCCGCTGTTCGTTTTCTGCTTAATCGTGCTCTTTTTTGGGTTGCAATATTTCCCGCTTTTGAAAATACTCTCTCACACTCCACTGATGTCACCACGATGTGACAGTGCTCATGAAATATTTCCGCCAAATTGGGGTACATATAGGAGTGAGATTTCCACCAAACTAATGGCGAAGAATCGCGCGGAAGCACTGGTTCATTAATAAACATTTCTAGCTCGTTCTCAGCGTTGGTGGTTATGTCTGTACGTATTACACATAATCATTCAGTAAAAATTATAAGTATTTGTTGGATAAAAAACTAAAAATGTGCTCTAAATTTAATTGTTGTTTCTAATTTAAAATTATTTCTAAACAATATTTCTAAGAATCCGAAATCATGCAACTCGAAATAAATAAACTCCCCAATTTACTGATCAACGGTATTAACTGAAAATTGTATTTTGTTGAATAAAAAATCAATAAAAACATCAGTACGAAAATGTATACGGAAAATGCGAGTAACGAAATGCATTCGTGAGTAACGTTTCGGTACTCGGTACTAGATGGCGTACCCGTTACTCAGTAACGAATACATACGGTTTGCTACAGCTCTAGATTTCACCAAGTTGTGATTTGTAGCAGCCACTATGAATTTAAGTAGCAGGTGTGACGTATGATTACACATTTCACGTGATTTTTCACTTGCTACTCGTGAAATGTTCCATCCCTACAACGGTTACCTTACGCTTTTATATCAATCAGCCGGAAGTGAAATTTTAATTATTTTTATAAAATCATCCTAAAAATCAGTTAAGTATCCATAATTTATAATTTAATTTTATAAAATTAAACAATAGTATTTCAGAATTTTTAAACGTAATAATATAATTATGAACTTCTTACTATTTGATTTATTTTCAAGCAATCATTTATAAGCATATAATTACAAAATTAGTAACTCGAAAAATATGTTTAATTTTAAGATATTGACTGATAAATTATTATATTTTAATATTTCTTTAAAAGTATAATCAATAGATATTCCATATTAATTTGGAGTAGTCAAATATTTCCTGTTAATTTATTAATGACTTTTAATGAAAATATTATTATTCATGATTTCTAATTATGTATATTATTTTATTATGTACAATTTTACTACTCCGTCTAAGCCTAGTCTAACATTTCTTTACATTGTGAGTGGAGGTAGAACTATTTGTTATACTCCTACGTAAATTGAATTACCATATACTAACGATGTTCCCTCGCTTTTCTTGCGTGCGTCCCAATATATCTAAATGACCTATGCGCTCAGTGTTAAATAATAAGTATACACGCTTTAATTATTTCACATCTGACAAAAAACTTAAAAGAAACTAAAACCGGCTTTTGTTGTTTTATTAAATTGTAAACACATTTTAATTTGGCTTTTATTTTTAAAAATTCGTGTCAGGATTTTTTATTAGATTTTTCTTAGAAAACAAAAAGTATAAGTAAATTTATACATATCTATAGTAAAATTGTAACTAAGCCGAATCTGTAGATTAAGTATTTTTTGGAAAATCTTATTGAAATGTTATTATCGATACAGAGGCCGAATCTATAGTTTTTAGAATTTTTGTCTGTCTGTCTGTTACCGCATCACAGTAAATCCACTGGAGGGATTTAGATGAAATTTGGTATGGTGATAGCTGGTTATCCCGGTCAACATATAGGATACTTTTTGTTCGCGCCACTCGGGCGCGACGATAGGTTCCCTGATTTGCTTTCTCACTCTTACTCATGGATTCGGCGCGAGCGTCGCATGCGCGCCACTCGAAAATGGTCACGCGTCGTCCACGGTTCGAGAAGGGTCGTTAAATTGAAAATATATGTAAAAGTAAAACCCTTCAGCTCGTCTGCTCGTGTGTGAATTATTATAAGTATATTGCCGGCCGGCTCCTATTAAAGTGAGTTCACTATACAGACAATTGAACAGTGATAGTGAATATAGCGTATAATATAAAACTTTCTTGCACGTGTACCTATACGTGCAAAGGTATATTCAGCTCAGGAGCGTGCCACTCACCCAGCGCCATCCATCTATCATCCGCCCATCTACATTCCAAGTAAGTGCACACCCTTACATCTCTCTCCCTTACAACTCCAACCCCCGCTTCAGCTCATCGTCAATGTGAGGTGTCCCAGCCCTTACAATTTTTGGGCTAGCCCTCACATATACCAATTACAATAGTTGGCAACAATTTTTTATGAATGTGTGATGATTGATGTATCATGATAGTTGATCTAGATTTGATAGTTTTTGAAAGGATCTGCAAATATTTTGCAATAAAAAATCTGGACTAGTTTAATCTCATTTCCATAGGGTAGCATTATGTATAAGCTTTTTTATCAAGAATACCAACACAATTTTTCAACATCATTCTTAATCACTACAATACTTAAGTAATTGTAGTTAGTATGTTTGTCAATTGCAGCTGCCTATAACACTAACAAACAAATTACATGCATTGCTACTAAAAATAGAATAAAAAATAATAACGTGAAATTGAATCGATTAAGTTAATTGCTATAAAATGGTAAAATAATGTAAAATATGATAACAAATGATAAGATAACAAAATAATATACTTAACGAGTGTATTAAAAATATAATAAAGATTAAAATTTAAAATAATTTACGCTAACTTTTATAATTGTGTTAAAGTATAAATATGAACTATGTATTTGTTTTTTTAGAAAACGTGTTGCTTGAAATAAAAGGACCATTTTTAGTAATCAATAATTGCTTTAGCTATAAAGTATTAGGTAGAAATCATGCCAATTTGCTAAACAAACAAATCTATCAAGAAATCTAAGTAGATAACTTTAAAGCTTTCGTATTGAAAGAGATCAATGGTATACAGTGTAGAAGCATCTAAAACACTGATAATATGTCGTAAAGCAGACTGCCTACTTATAATCTGAACTTTCCTTTGACCGCATTTAGTTTACTCAAGCAAGACGAGGGCTCTGTAATGAGATATAATTTGTAAAACTGCATTTGATTGATTATGCACATTTATTTACATATGCATTTTCCCAACTTTCTTCGTGCAAGAGAAAGTCGATCAGCGTTCATTTCGTAACATTTACGATATTCGTTTAACAATTCAAATTGTGTAGTATATTTTGTAATCTAGTTTTGCTTCCTCACTTGGTAGGTTTGCTTGAATTTTAATAACGCCTATAACGTTGTATAACTTGTACGTAAATAACTTTATTTTTCATAACAGGATGTTTTACTTTATATTCAAAATGGTATATATACATAGGTATAAAATATAAATTTCACAGAATTTATATTACATACATATATTATGCTTAGCTTAGGAATTTAATCATATATATTTCATCTAACTAATATTATAAATGTGAAAGTGTGTGAGTGAGTAAATGTGTTTGTAACTTCACATAAATACCAAGTTTCAAGTAATTCTGATCATTTTTTTTTTTAGGGAATTAGATAATTTCCCGTGATAAAAAGCGTATGTCACTCTCCAGCTCTCCAACTATCTCCACACAAAAAATCACGCGAATCCGTCACTCCGTTTCGACGTGAAAGAAGGACAAACAAACAAACATACTTTTGTTTATCCTTCTTATATATGTTATAATATTAGTATAGATGTCAAATATACGCGTAAATCTAAGATAGTACTATCTCCAACTTACATCCATTTCAGTATATTGCAATATAATATTTCTTCGCAGATTTTTTGATACGCAGAAGTTGCAAGAATTAGTGTTCATCGGACCGAGCTACATACAGAATCAGCATGCACCAGTTGCCAAAATAAATCGGTGAGCTCATGTTGGATTTTGTTATGTATCATATAATATACTGTCTTTCACGTTTATGAATTAACATACTTTTGTAATATATGCGTCAGGGATGTTTGTGTGAAGTATAAATAAAGCTAAAGTTATTTAAAATGGAATATTATATATATATTTGTTTGTTTGTTTGTGTTGTTGGTGAGTTCTGTGGCCAAAAAGTACAAAACGGAACCCTTCATAATTTCGTCATGTCCGTGTGTCCGTATGTTATAGCTATTCTTCTCAGAGGCGATATGAGTTATTTAGATGGGTAGGTGTCTCATGTGAACCGCCAGATAATGGTGTAGTCAAATTACAAAAAATAAAACAAGGCTATCGCGTATGTGTGATGTCTATAGATAGATCTTTAAAATTAAAATATATGTATGTATATCTAAGCTGATGCACAGATCTCCTAGTACGGCTGCAGATGTTATGTTTCAAATATATGTATGTACCAAATTAGATTTATTAACTCTTAAACAAATATCTGGTAGTATTGTGTTGAGTTTTGGAAATAAAGAACTTATTAATTATTATTTTTATTTATTATTATTAAGTGACTTTTATTCAAGCCAATATACATCGATTATCACGTTATATGGCTCTTAAAGTTGTACTCGTTGTAAACCACCACCTCCACTCTTAATTTTTGAAAGTATTTGTGAATTTTTTTACTATATAGGGCCCCTGAAATACTTTTAATGAAAATTATACTTTTGTAACGCGGGGTTTTTACAAACAACGGTGATCGCGGGGTATCGTGTCGGAACATGTACGATCCTGTAGGGCCGTGTTTCGTGCGATCGTATAGTTTAGGCGCCCGCGCTCCCCGCGTCTCCCGCGAACGCGTGAGCGACGGCGTGGCTCGACCAGGCAGAGAGCCGCGAGCGCCGAACGCGTAAACATCTGTATCATAACGATCCTCCACGACTCTCATTTTCGCGCAGTTGTAAGATTTTATGTAATTTTTGTGTAACTTCCATAACCATAAGTTTATCTTGTCAAACCTCAAGTGAAATAAATATATTTTAATAGACTGTTGTGTACCTATTAAACTTTTTAATTATTTTTGGGCAAACTTAAAAATAATAATTTCAGTATATGTTTACAGAATAATAACCGAAAGTTTGATATTCAAGAACGCGCATTGCCTACAAAAATTGATCCTCTTGGGTTGTGAAATGTCCACGGTGAAGAACGAAAACGATAGATATTTAGTGAGTGACTTCATATTCATTATAAGTATGTAGTTAGTAAGTATGTATGTATATGTATACATAAAAAACCTAACCGGTGTTGGTGGTCGATGTGTCATAAATGCGTAATATACCTTTTTGTTATTTTAATCGGTATGTAACATGATTGCTCTACATTAAAATTGTACATCAAACTTGTAACAATTATGGTATCCCATAGTGTCCCATGTCGCCTTTCGCATTTATTATACCTATTAAGAATGTTCTCAGAAGAATAGGATTTGTTTTGATTTAATTGACATAAATATATCATTATACAGGTAGTTTATTTCTGTAAAATGTTCATAAAATTATTGCCCATAACGTTTTTGAGTAATTTTTCTTTCTATACGTTAAAATCGTATCAAAATTCGTGCAGTAGTTTTTAAGATTACCCATATATCAAACATAAACGGCGCGGCGGGTATTTTTTTATAACATGTTCTGAGTGTAAATATGTATAATAAATACGTTTTTAAGCCTTTTCTTCATAAGAAAATTTATTTCTTGATCTAAATATAAATGTGGCTTTAGTCAGTGATCGAATTATAGCTACCAAATGTAAATTGAGTAGCCTCAATTGAAATATATACTGCCAGATGTTATCACGTACGTGTCGCCATTTTTGATGTTGTCTCACTGTGTGTCTCACCATCAATTTCTTTTAAAACTAAAGATTCATAATTTATTATTATTTTAGGTAAATATTATATATATAATATTAGATATTTTCAAGACCATTATTTTATTGTTACAGATTAAAGATATAGCTAACGAATTATGTACTTTACACGAATTATATACTGTACATAATAGGTATTTATTGCAACATTGCATACATTTAATTTTTTTTTTTAAGCGGAACCTTACTTCTTTTACTGAAATAAAAGTAGCCTAAGCCTTATAACATCAACTACCTGCCAGTGAAAGTCCCGTCAAAATAAGCCCAGCCGTTTCGGAAATTAGTCGGAACAAACAGACTGACAAAAAATTTAAAAATTGTGTTTTTCTTTCAAACACCGTATATAATTCCATATGCATTTAGTAAAAATCTATTATTTTGACATTACAGACAGACACTTCAATTTTATTTATCTTTATAGATTAATTGCAAGTCGCATGTTAAAAAATAACGTTATGCATCTTAAAGTAAGGTTACATTACATCGTAAAATAAAAAGTGACACTAATTAGATTATAATATGGAGTTTTCTTTTTTTAATATTTATTATATTTTTATTCCAGCACAAGAACGTGGAATATTATTCCCGACCGTTATCATTCAACACAGTGACCTCCGAAGCGGACACCGTGTTGTCAAGTACCAATGCCGGGTTAATGATGTTTTCTACTCTACAAGTAAGTTTGTGCATAACCAGGGCCGGATTTGGGTATAAGTGTGTTGCTTGAGTAATCAAGGATTCGTAATTTAACTTTTTAATATAAAAACACAATATATAATTAAATTAATTAAATATTTATATCACAGAAGTTTTTTGGTTTCTCGAGTCTTTAGTATTAGTATTTAAATTGAATTTAATAGACAGACAAATTTAATTATGCACAAATTTTTTTAGTTGTTAAATTTTAAATTTGCTAAAATAATATCCAAAAATGTCTTATAGGGGAAGGTCTTTCTCTAAATCCGGCCCTGGTTATAATACGGTAGTCATATTTCATGTGAAATTCGAAACGGTCCATACTCTTTATAGAGGATCTTATAAACATAAATACTTAGATTAGGTTTCGAAGCGGATTTTCTGTATCAGAATAATAAATGATTTTTTTTATTAGTATGGTTAACAAGCGATACACCCTCTCTTCGCATCGGGTTTATCCCTAAATAAAAACAAATTATCCCGCGGGAGCCGCACATTTTTCATGTGTTATTCCAGACTATAATCCATCTCTGCCCCAAAATTCATCTAGACCCGTTCAGCCGTTCTGGCGTGAAAGAGTAACAAACATCCAGACATCCACCCTCACAAACTTTCACATATATTATATTAGTATAAGGATATGGATAATTATCAATAATCATAGTTTTTATTTTATCATTTTAATAAATTCATTCATACCTAAATAAATAATAGATTGCGTTCAAAGCTTTTAATGTGTATGAAGTATACATATCATATATGTATGTATGTATAAAGGTCACACCTTTTTCTAGTTTCAACAGATTAGTAGAAAGCGAAAAAAATATATTAAAAAACTTGTCAGTGAGAGCGAGTATAATAAAAGAACTTGTTAGTAATTAAGATTTGATTTTATTTTTTTAATAAATTAAATTTTTATAAGAAAATTATATATAATAAATTTCCATAAAGATACTAAAAAGAAAACTGCATAGTGCAACTATGCCTTTGAAGTAGCTATACTCTTTACACCATTTGTTTCGGCGTATTTCACAAGTAATATTTAGTACTAACTAGAATAATATCATCCGACCATTACTAAGAATTCCTTGTAACATGATATGAAGTGTCGTTAATATAAACCATGCTATGTTCTATATGAAATAGTTAAATGTTTATTTTTTATATGTGTTTGTTGTGTATTTTAAATGCTAAGCTTTTTAAATGGGAAAGATGTAACGTAAATAAAGATAAAAAATTGAAATAAATAATAATAGAATTATTTGTACAGGCGTTTAATTTTTTTTTTTTTGTAAAAGTATAATGCAAATAAAACAAATATTTCAATTCAATTCTCTTGTTAATTGCTCTAAAACATGTCAGTTGAGCATAGACTTCATATTTTTTACAAAATAGATATTTTAATCTTTTGACATAATTGCACCAACAGATAAAGGTTGTGGAAACACAACTTTTATCTGTTGGTGCATTTGTTTATAATAATCCGAAAGTGTGATCTTATTAATATGATTCTTTATTTTAGAAATACATTATTAGGCTTTATATTACAAATTAAAGACAAATTTTGTCACTATATGCAACCAAAAGTCGAACCGAATTCAATAGATAACCGTATAAATACATAAATAACACCACAATATTTGTTCCAGCACATAATATTCGACTTCGATCTGATGAGCACATCCACATTGGAAACTCTAAGTCAGTTCTCGCAAATAACACAGTTGACCCTCAACATCGGGTCGCGGCGGCCGGCGCCGCTGCCGAGCGTGGACTGGAGGAACATCAGTGGGGGGTTGCAAGTTGCTTTGAATATCGTGAGTTGGTTTTTATTCTTATTATATTCAGAAATACACCCTTATATCGCCCTTGCTTTGCTCGGGTTCGTCCCTGGGAAGTGATTGAAAATAAATTATATTTCGGTCGTTCAGGTCGTGAGACGTCACGATACTATTTTTACAAGCGCAAATTTAAAGTTTCATAACTTTTCTTTTTCAGTTTGAGATATTTTAATAATACTTTCATATTTTTCTTATATTTTACTTAATTTTTTTATAATTAATAAAAATTGGAAACTTTTCCATTTTTTAGCCTGAGACTGATTACTATATATTTGGTTAAGTGATCGTAAAAAGAGTGTAAGTAACTTATAATAATGATAGTAAACTTTCCTCAACAGATATCAGTATCGCACAATGTTCTGGAAGAAATCATCGATGTAGTGCTCGTGGAGGGAATGCCGCTGGTCTCGTTAAAAGTCATGTTTTGTAAAACTGTGAGTATTTCATACAAATGTCTTCATTCGTCGCAGTCGCTTTTGTAATAATTTAATTGATTAGCAGATGTTGGATATGAGTTTTTTTCTAATCTTTTACTGTACCAACTCAATAAGATATAATCAGAGTATTTTACAATCTATACAGTAGGCGTTCGCCACATTAATTAGAACGAAAATTCAATTCAATTTTTTTGTTAATGGCTTGGCTTCAAATAACAAAAATGCTGTTAAATACGAAGTTTATCAAAATATACTATTTTTTATGGCGAGCGGTTTCGAAGTTAAAGCAATGTAAAGTTACATTAATATTTGTCAACCTATAAGCTTTTACAAGAGTGTCATAAAAAAAATACCTATAACGACAATAGGGATTGCCCTCTTTACACGCTGTCGATGGAGTAGTAGACTGTGGTATAACGTATTAAGTACAATAAATTAATTTTTAACCCATTTCAAAAAAAGGAAAAGGTTTTTATTTTTTTTTATTTTTTTGTGTGCCTAAAAATAAAATATGCTCAAAATGCAACTTTTCTATTTTTTTTGTCTTATAACTTTAATTTTTCATTTTAGCGCATTAGAATAGCTTATTTTTGAAACTACTTTTTTCTATAAATTTATACATCTAAATTTTTAATTTAAAACGATAGCTATAACGGTAACGTTAAATAAAATATTGTAATGTCGTCAGCTGCACGCGGGCGTGCTGCAGCGCGTGGTGCGCCACCACAAGGCGAGCCTGCGCGAGCTGGTGTGGGCGGACGCGCCGCACGACGCCGCCGACCTGTACCACAGCCACCTCGAGCAGCAACTCTCTGAGGAGGTAACTGTACAGACACGCCTCCTATACCGATACTTACTTTCTAAAAGGAGAGATAGATAGATAGATAGAGATAGACTTGATATTAAACAATTTTGGATTGACAAATTATAAAATAATTTTCCATATATTATAATATTTAAAATAATCAAATGATAGCGCGGTTTAATTGAGTACCAGCGCCATTTCTCATCAAAGTGCAAGAACTCTCAAAGCAAATGTTACATTTAAACTAAAGAAAGCATACGCTACACGCAATACTTTATTTGGACGTAGTTATGTAAAATAGATCCAGCTCACAAAAACCGATTTTAGAGTTACTGTCATAAATGGCACTTACATATCAGCTTATATATAGAAAGTAGACAAAATATTTAAGAGGAATTTTATAAAAAACCACTACGGTCTTGTTATTTTGTTATAGGTACCAATTTTACTAAAACTTTTATTTTCTCAAAAGTAAGTTTTTGTGGTTGGATTTATTTTGAATAACTACATCCATTTATTTATCTTTGATGTCCTCGCGACATATTTTGGAAATGGCGGCCGATTGCACTGAGATTACCAATCTGCGCAGGTGATATTATAGTGTAAAATGTAGTGCACAAGTGTACACACAGACACATCGTGCACACACATTTCGGTAGGACGACAATTTAACACTCCTGTTGAAAGTTGAGGCAAGATTGAATCGACATGTGCTTTGCGAGGCACGGGGGTGCAACACTGTCGACTTGGGTGCTTACTTTATTAATTATTAAATGCAATAAAGTCGCAAAGTTTATATATGAATAATGTTACGTTACAGTTCGCAATGTGCAACGTGAACCCGTTAATTTTACTCTGCTGGCAGTGCAGCCAGCTACAGAGACTCGTCATACACGGTGAGTGTTTTTGGGACAGTTACTTTTATTTTAGATTAAGAAAGACATACATATGTAAATATACACTGTGATAATCCAGTGGTAACGCGTTTCTATAGGAAATCAAGTAAATCGGATTCATATTCCGAGTCGCAATTTTGAATTTTTTTTGTCTTACGGTGAAAGAAAACGTAGAGCCCTACACGTCAGAGAGAACATAGCAAGTTTTCGAAAGATATTTTGATAACCTGCGCTTGGCTAACGTGGTGGACTATGGCCTGATCTCCCTCGTATTACTTAGTAAAGGAGGTCCGTGGGACGGTGTGTCACTAGCAGTGGGACGTTAATAAGGGCTGACCACATACATACCCGATAATAAAATGTGACATATGTACAGGTTACTGGGTGTGGCAGTACGACCTGATCGGGTTCGTGCGCCTGCGCCGCTCGCTGGGCGCGCTGGACGTGTCGGCGGTGCGCGGCGCGGGCGGCGGCGTGGCGCGCGTGCGGGCGCGCGAGCCGCCGCGCGCGCCCGACCCGGACCTCGTCAGGGTCGGTTGTGCTCTTTCCTTACATTCTCATTTTCACTACATAGTATAAAACAAAGTCGCTTCCCGCTGTCCGTCTGTCCCTATGTATTATGCTTAGGTGTTTAAAACTACACTACGGATTTTGATGCGGTTTTTTTAATAGATAGAGTGATTCAAGAGGAAGGTTTATATGTATAATACATGCATATTATAGTACAGAAAAGCCGAGAAATTCAAAGATTTGTATTTCATACTAACAGTTACAACGTACTTAGGGACGAACCCTAACAAAGCGAGGTGAGTCGCTTAGTTTTATTTAATAATGATGTCCTACCGAGCGATTTTATGCCACAGGGCCAATCTCATTGAGGTAAACAAATTCCATCAACATAAACTTTATATTTCTATATTCAATTATAAAGCTGATTAACATTATATAAAAATATTTAAAGTTAAAAGTTAAAATATAAGGTACTTTAGTGCCATTTTTTAATTTTTTGAATTCATTTTGTTAATTGTGGGTAGGCTGTCTGTAACAAATATATAATACCTTAGAGACATCTAACACCTCAGTCTCTCCCGTGACCATGATTGCTGTAAAGCATTCGAAACGTCGGGAACCAAAAATCAACATAAATTCGCGAAAAAATCCGAAAAGATAGTTTTATTTAAAATTTTCAGGATGTAATTAACCCACCGTATCCTAATCTGATGGTTTTAAGTATTTCTACCGTATCAAAATATATTTTTTTAATATTTTGATCGGCTGCCCTAGACGTACGCCCTTACATATATAGAGGACTTATACTATGGTGGAGATACTCAACAGAGTGCAAGGTATCCATTATGTAAATTTGCTGCGCTCGAGTAATTCCAAAAGTCTCCTCTGGGCTTCCCTACTATAACAGTAGTCCGTTATACCTCAGCAAGTGAACCTGTACACGGAGTTCGAGTGGTCGCCGGTGCCGTGGCCGTGCCTGCCGGCGGCGCTGCGCGCGCGCGCGTCCCCCGCGCAGCGCGCCGACTACGTGCTGCGCGAGCTGCTGCGCGCGCCGCCCGCGCCGCTGCCGTAAGTGTCATAACCTATACTAATATTATAAAGTGGTAAAGTTTGTGAATTGTGAGTTTGTGACGTTGTAGGGGGCAATCTCTGGATCTACTGAACCGATTTAGATGAAATTTGGTAAGAAGATAGTTTGAGACCCTGGGAAGGACAAAGGATACTTTTTGTCCCGGAAATCCTCCCTTAAGAGGGTGGAAATGGGGATGAAAGTTTGTATGGGAAATCGAGCTAGAGACGAGCCCGAGTGAAGCGAAGATGATTCGCTAGTAATAATAATAATAACTCTTTATTGCACACACAAAAAAAAGGCAAAAACACCCCGACGGCAGGTCTGCCGAAGCAGACCACCACAACCATGGGGTTGCTCCACAGTCCACTCTGCTATCAGAGAAGTACCAGGAGCAACCCGCATGGTACACCGCCCCCCGAAGAGGGCCACCTCCCACCGCCCACCGAAGTGGGCAACCTCCCTGTGCGTTTCTTACTTCGTGCCCGGCTAGATTGCCGGACGATAATGAGCCTAAAGTGTTTAAATTTTAAATATATTTTTTATTCAGTTCTTCGCATTGATTTTAATTAAATATTAACATATTATACTTTTATTTCACAGATCTTAAGCTCATCGGACTACAGAAGATCTCAATGCAAGTTACCAACAAGTACTGTAAGATCTTTTATATGACATTCACGTGGATAAATAGAACTGATTTTATAAGGAAAAGAAAAATAAATCGATGCTGTTATGACACAGGCAAAGCCTTTTATGAAAAATTGTTGTGTGACATATCCTTTCATTGTTTATGTGTTAAAAGAAAAACAAAAATTGTGTCACTTTTTTTACTGTGTTCACGCTAAAAAAAATTTTTTTTATTATTTATGAGTAAATGATAAGCGTTGACATCTTTTAATACATAAATATTAAAAGGATATTGGATATTATTTGTAATTGAAATTAAATCGGTATCGGGCTCCCAAATTTTTATTCATCGTTAGGCGTAATTGTTAGACATAAGGAATGGCTATCGATTATATCTTGTAAGAATCGATTTATTATAATATCTCATAAGTATAATCCGAGTATTAGGTATCTCATATCTTCCGATACCGTTAGGCCTAATCGATTCTTTTTCATATATTAAATTATATTTTAAAAAATATTGCATTTTCTTCGTAAACGTTAGTGTACGATATTATTTGCGAAAGTTCCTTTCAGTAGAATTTATAAAGTATTAAAGTTTTACATATTAAATTTTTATTATAAATGTCTAAATAACGATGTGCGCTCTTAGTGTTATTGCGATTCCTTAGATGTTGACGTCACGGCGCTTGTACATAGCTTTAAATTCCTACTTAGCAAAAAATGATAAAGCTCAGTGGAAATTGAATATCTCCAAAAAGTACCTTACATATATGTATAAAAAAATACATTATAGTTAAGTCATAGTAAAAGTCAATTTTCACCAAATTACTAACAGAGTGTTTATGTATAAAAATGTTATATTTTATCTGTGTTCATACACTTGTCTTCGGTAGAGAAATCTGTGATGACTAAAGTTTAATTAATGAAAAAATCGCATCTAAAAGCGTTTTAGCATATCGTTATAATACAATATTTACGACAAGTCTATAAATACAGATCGAATAGTAAAATTTGACAAAAAATTGAGTTTCCTAGTAATGTGTAATATGTATAGCGAAAAATGAGAAACGCCGAATGATATGTTTACAGGCATCATCTCTCATATGTACGAATTTATCGTAGTTAAAAACTTAAAAACAAGTTAAAATTTATATCCCACGCCCAAAGTTCTTTTGAATTGTTAAAAATATTTAATAACAAATAAGCGATTCAACGGCATCATCAAATACAAGCGGCAGTGTGATGAGAAATGTCCTATATCATATACATATAACATACTAACTAACTAAAATACATAATTATATGTTAAAACAATCGATCGAACATTCATCCGGTAAGACATTTTTTTTATATATTTAGAAATTGTTATCAATCTTATATAGTATTCAAAAACTACACTCTCGCATGTATTTGATAATGCATTACACTAAGTAAACGAAATATATCTAGAGAAATTGAAATGCCAATTTTATATACAATTAGTAGGAAATATCCCACTCGGCAACTTTAGGCGTGGCGGACATAGGACATCTAGTCAACAGACGGGCGTTTTACATAAGGCTGTGTTCACACGGCATTGTCCTGCACGTTTTTTTTTTGTATTCGATTTTAAACGTTAAATCAGCCGGATGTTCATACGGTAGATTTTAATACGTGTAATAACGAATATCCGCAGTTTTAACGTATTAAAACTGCGGATATTCGTTTTTTTAAACTTTTAAACTTTTAAAACTGTCAATATGAGTGAAGAAAAATTGCACTTATGACATTGTACGTTATCACACTGAGAAGACGTCTGTGATGGATCCACGCTTGGTTGAGACAGACCTAAACTGTATACACCACTGAAAACTGAATACGTTAAAATTAATTCGATTTGCTTGACAAGTCCGGCGAGTATCCGATTAATCCCTCCACGACCGCGGACACGCCGGCGTGTCAGTTAACACTAGATTTCTTAGAATTTTAATTATTTTCTTAGAAATTTACTTGGAGGTGTTAAACGTGTTAAGGGTTTACAATTCTATATACAATGCATGTGCCACTATGAATTCATTAGGACGTATACTGCAAAAAAACGTGCAGGACAATGCCGTGTGAACCCAGCCTAATGTAACATAGAAAATATTCCGCAAACGAACGATTGCACAAAAAAAAGTATTACAACATACATATTATAATTTATATATCAACTCTATAATATAGCTTTAAGAGTAATCTCGACCGTATCAAATACGGAGACACGTGCCACTACAACAACTTTGTACTATAAGTGAATGTGGTTTTAATAACATAATCGATTTATAATCGATTTTCTCGAGTCACGTGACGATATCGAATCGAACGAATAACGAATACACCTTGTACGATTATCGATTTCGGCCGTTTAGTTTTGTTTCAGTGGAATAAAACACAGTCCGTCCCCGCTACGCGTAACACTGACACACGGCTTTAGCTTACCTGATGCGAGGTGTGCGATTATCGATAATAATACATATAAATATCACAGTCACGCACAAACAATGTGATCTTTAAGTACCCAATACTTATTCGAAATATGCCTTTAACTATAGTGTACAAAAAAAAAACAATTTAAAATTACATATATTGAAATGTTTACCTTCGATTCCTGTAATATCGACTATCGAGTTATGCTAAAGAGTATAATCGAATAAATAATCACTCTAGGCCAATTTAATCGTAATTAAAAAAAAATTGCTTCAAATAGGTTATATATTATAGTACTAAGTACTTTAGATAAATAAAACTCACTATGTTATTTAGAAAGTGAATGGTTTTCTTGATATTTTTTAAGAAGTTTATAAAAGTTCGACGCGAAGAACATAATATATTGTAAGGCAACGAAGAGACTTACCAACATACATTCCCTGAGACTGAGAAATTCATAGAAGAGGCTTAGATCAAATAAGAATATTATGTGTATATATTGAAGTCGACTTTTTATTTTATCCAATGCATCATGTTATAAATGCGATATTTGACAAATTTTTTAAACACTATCACGTTAGACTGACTTCTGTCGAGAAAATCTCAAGTTTTTATTATTTTTATTTCTAATTGCGAGGTTTGTGATTTTGTATGGTTTATTTTATTGTTTTTATTTCCTTTTATTGTTAATAATAATTAATAGAATATAACGAATGATTTGTCAAATACGCAGAGAACGCTGAACGTTCTATCAGCGACTGCAATATGAAGAGTAAATATCTGTACAGAGACAAAGCTTTATACAACCGAGCAACAACGATAGGCACACTTCTACATAAGGCGCTGTGGTTTTTTTAATCGTAACGTGTTGGCCCTGAGATTGTCAACAGATGGAACTAAAAAAACCGGTTTTGTCAACGGACAGCGCGTAGTCAACTCTATGATGAGGTGTCACGTACACTCCGCCATGATATTTTTTTCATCGCGTGTTTTATGAAGCATTGTCTTTGTAAGGAATCTATGCGGTTTAAAAACGGTTCAATAATAAAAAGTCGACTTAATAAATTTAAGAACAAAATGGGGGTCACGGCAAAAGTGTCACATCTTATACGAAAATCAAATTGAATTACATATCTTTTTATATATTATCGAATAAAATTATTTATTGTAGAAGTAATATTTGTTATCGGAGAGTTGTTTGGAAATCTAAAAGATTCACAAAAGTAAATATTTGTTCTATTGCTAATACTGATAGCGGAATCTATCTCACTGAAAGAAAGCAAAACGCCAACGTAACAATTACATTTTTGAAGTAATAAAATCATCACTTGCAGCTCAAATCTCCTCATAACTATTTAGCTAAATTACTTAATGAATGTCAAACAAAATATATAAAACTACCGACTCACCCTAACTTCGCTCGGGTTCATCTCTAGCTTGCTTCCCCATACAAACTTCCATCCCCATTCTCACTCCCTTAAGGGATTATTTCCGGTATAAAAACCATTTCACTCGCTCACTTTTCACATCATGAGATTTAAAAGAAACTTATTTTAGTAAAAAAAAAATACTTTTTTTAATTTTCTTCTATATAAGCCTTCCTGACAATAACAAACACAAAAGAATTATCCAATTTGGCGCAGTCGATCGGAAGTTATGCGCGTACATACATTTCGATGATTCATTTTTATTTATATAGATAACGTGTGAAGAAAAACAAGCATTATATTTAATAAGGGAATGTATTAAATTTATGATAGGTTTAGTAAAGCAATAATGAGAGCAAGACAATTATTCTTAATATAAAATCTATAAGGTTATAATACTTTCTTAGATTTACGCGAATATTTGACATTTCAAATAAAACTATCTTTTCGGATTTTTTCGCGGATTTATTTTGATTTTAATGTTTAAAGTTAAAAAATATTGTAAGGTAATTGGTACAATTTTCGTTTTGTTAATTGTGGGTAGGCTGTCTGTAACAACTATACCTTCAAGTCATGTAACACTTCAGTTTCTCCCGTGACCATGGATGCTGTAAAGCATTTGAAACGTCGGGAACCAAAAATCAAAATAAATCCGCGAAATAATCCGAAAAGATAGTTTTATTTAAAATCTATAAGATTATGTTCCTATAGTGTTGGTCGCTTTTGCCGCGACCCCCGAACGTAACAACTTGACATATATGAAAATGTGATACGAATACAAATGACAACCGTATTTTAAGAGCATTAACAAAGGAACATCATTCCCGCCTCTTGTTTTAATATATTTCTCTCTGCCCCGGTTGTACGAGACAGCTTTAAAAGTAGATTTTTTTGTTATACGTCACTTTATAAGTAAATAGTAGGCATTTCTATATAAAAAAAAATTGAACACCAAAGACAAACAGATTTGCATACTTTTTACTATATGGGGCAGAGATTTCTTAAACCACCAAGACTTTCAATAAGGCTGTGAAACAACTTGATTCGGTTTGGCTGAAGTTAATCTCATGTTAAACGTTGATTGGCGTAATCAGTTACT